CAGCTTTTTGTTTCAACGTTTCCTGGTTTTTTAAATTTCAAATGATTTTAAAAAGGGACAAAACTGAAACGAAACTTTGTTTTGTCCCAGAACTAAACAAAAATTGACTTGTTGATTTACCTGAACTTTTCTAAACGTTTGTTTTTGGCTCAACCTCAAATGCTCCCCTCCCCCCCCCCGACTTTTCAAACTTGCCACAAACTGAGAAATCCCTTCTTTCCCCAGCTCTAGTACCCCCCCCCTCCCCGGCCTGGGGGTAGCTGCAAAGGGGACTTGACTTCTCTTCTCTCCATTCCCAAGCCTGGGCGCCTGCAGCCTCCGTGCTGGAGAAACTTGGGCACAATCAGGGTCTGATCAGCAACTTGGAGACCTGGCAAACAGCCTGGGCCTGTTGAAGACATGGCTTTTCGCTACAGTTGGGCAAATCTTTACTGGCATAAAATATTTACCCAAAAATGAAGCTTTGGTCGACTCTGAACTATTTGCGAGTTCATATCGAGTTCACTGAATAGTTTCAACTGAACCAAAAAAATCGAAATGTTTCAGTAACGTTGAAACAAAATGGTTCGTTTTGTGGTTATTGAAGCATTTTAATTGTTCAGGCTGGCATCACAAACTAGCTGGCTGAAGGGGAAGTGGTCTCCTTGTTACTTTTAGCGCAGTTGTTGGAGCTCACACCTGGCCTATGCGATTCAGGTTCAGTTATCCCCTCTGCTTGATGTGGAAAAGGGATTTGAATTTGGATTTGTGATCCTGCAGGAGGGCACCCAAACCAACAGGCTTTTGACTAGGCCAGACTGGGTCGTTCACAGTCTGCCCTGTTGAAGCTCCTCAACTTTGTACAGATACACTGGAACCCCGCTATAACGCGCCCTGCGATAACGCGAATTCGTTTATAACGCGGGGCGAGTCTGGCCCCGGCGGCTGCAGCATGCGCGGGGCGAGTCTGGCGGGTGCGGGGCGTTTGGGATCTATGCCCAGCGCCCCTGGGGTTCTCACCTCTGTCCCCGGCAGGGCCGGTGTATCAGCACGAAACACAACCCTCCCGCCGACCGTGTAGGGGGCGGCAGCGCGGAGGAGGGGGGCGCCCTGCTGGGAGCGGGCTGCAGAGTGGCACGGAGCCCTCCTGGCAGTCGGCGCAGCAGGCCTTCGTGGGCCCCGTTCCCCTGGCCAGAGCGCCGGCAGGAGCATGGCCAGGCCCGCAGCCCCGCAACCCTGGCAGATAAAGATATAATCATCCTCTCTCTTATTCATAAATAATTACAGTGGAACCCTGCTATAACGCGACCCCGCATTTACCGCAATTGATTTTTTTGGACCCCAATGGTCGCGTTATAGCGGGGTTCCACTGTAACTAGTCAGTTGACCCAGCTCTGAGACTCACTGCTCTGGGTTGTTATATTTTTTTCACTGTGTAGACATGGGCTTTGGGACCAGGGTTCAACCCCTCCTAATAATCCATGGGAAAGGATGTTATAGCTCTATATGCTGTCATTTCCTCTCTAAAAACTAGTTTAGTTAATTTAATTGGAACCAGTACCTCACACACCCTTGTAGCACCGGATCAGCAGCACACCTGACAGTGTGATAGGCAGTATGAAGTTACAAGGAATGTAGGAGACTTTTTATTAACTTCTGATTTCCAGATTTGTAAAGTTTTGGGTGGTTGTTGTGTTATGTATTTAGCTTTGTATGCAAAAGCATACAGGGACCTATCCAGTGTGCTGTGTGTCCTGCCATTAACTTTTTATTTCCAGACTTTTAAAGTTTTGGGTGGGGCAGCGCTGGGCATGTCTTGCTGCAACTTTGACTGTCACTAAAAATTGTTGTTTGTGTTAATGTATTTAGCTTTGTATGCAAAAGCAAAAAGGAGCCTATCCAGGGTGCACTGTGTCCTGCCATAAGTTACAAAACCAGAAATAAAATTAACCAGATCACTAACTTGGCATAATGTGGATGGCCCCATAACCCTGTGGAGCTACCCCTTTAAAACCTTATATTTAAAGGGGATGAATGATACGTTTTTTTCCTGTTGAGATGATGTTAACCTGTGGAACTCCCTACCACTGGAAACAGCCAGAGCCAGGCATGATTGGCAATTTGCACAGGCTATGAAATGATCCATAGCCTCATTAGAGAAATGGGTGTAAGCGGGACAGACGCCTGCCTGTTTCTGAGCCCATCAATCTCTGATTGAGGAGGTAGGAAAGAGCCCTCCCCCATGGCTCAGATTATTCCACCAGTGACCATTAAGGGGCATCATGCACCATCCCATGGAGCAATTGGGACAGGCTCCTGTCAGAGCTGGGACTGGCTAGTGTCTCCCACTCACTTGCTCTGCTCTGGGATTACTCAGAAAGGGGCCAGGTATGTAAAAAATAGCCAGCTCCCTAGCTGGGGTCAATGGGCCGTGGCTCCATTGGAGTCAGTGAACCGGATGGGTGTATTTGGGGGGAGAGAGAGAACGATAGATGGTAGGGTGTATATGTAATGGAGAGATAGAGGGGTCTGTTTGGGGATAGATAGATAGAGGGGGGTGCGGTGGGGATAGAGAGGGGGGGTGTATGGGGAGAGATAGAGAGGGTGTATGGGGATACATAGATAGATAGAGGGGGTGGATGGGGATAGATAGATAGATAGAGGTGGTGTCTGGAGATGGATAGATAGATAGAGGGGGTGGATGGGGACAGATAGATAGATAGCCAGTCACTGGACCTGGGTCTCCAGTGCCTTCTACTGGAGTAAACTAGAAGTAACCCACTGAAGTCATAAGAACATGAGAATGGCATAGTGGGTCAGACCAATGGTCCATCTAGCCCAGTATCCTGTCTTCTGACAATGGCCAATACCAGATGCTTCAGAGGGAATGGACAGAACAGGGAAATTATTGAGTGATCCACCCCCTGTTATCCAATCCCTGCTTCTGGTGGCCAGAGGCTGAGGGACATCAAGGCCATGGGCATCTTGGCTAATAGTTCCTCCAGGAACTTATCTAGTTCTTTTTTTTAAACCAGTTACATTTTTGGCCTTCACGACATCCACTGGCAATGAGTTCCACAGGTTGACTGTGTGGTGTATGAAGAAGTACTTCCTTTAGATTGCTTTAAACCTGCTGCCTATTAATTTCATCAGGTGATGACTGGTTCTTGTGTTATGTGAAGAGGTAATTAACACTTCCTTATTTACTTTCTCCGTGTCATTCAGGGTTTTATAGACCTCTATCGTATCCCCATTAGTCATCTGAACAGTCCCCCTCTTTTTAATCTCTCCTCATATGGAAGATGTTCCATCTCCCTGATAATTTTTGGTGCCCTTCTATGCACTTTTTACAATATAATTTTTTTTTTTGAGATGGGGCAACCACATCTGCATGCCATATTCAATCTGTGGGCACCCCATGGATTATATAAAGGCATTATGATATTTTTTGTCTTATCTATCCCTGTCCTAATTATTCTCAGCATTCTGTTCCGTTTTTTGACTGCCACTGCACACTGAGTGGATGTTCTCAGAGATTATCCACAATGACTCCAAACTCTCTTTCTTGAGCGACAACAGCTAATTTAGACCCCATTATTTTGGTTGGCTAGTTGGGATTATGTTTTCCAATGTGCATTCTTTTGCATTTATTAACATTGAATTTCATCTGCCATTTTCTTGTCCAGTCACCCAGTTTTGTGAGATCCCTTTTTAGCTCTTCACAATCAGCTTTTGGCTTAACTATCCTGAGTAGCTTTGTATCATCTGCAAACTTTGTCACGTCCCTATACACTCCCTTTTCCAGATCATTTATGACTAAGATGAACAGCACTGGTCCCAGGACAGGACAGATCCCTGGGAGACCCAGCTATTTACCTCTCTCCACTGTGAAAACTGACCATTTATTCCTACCCTTTGGGCTTGTCCACATTTCAAATACTACAGGAGTACAGTTACACTAGTGTAGTGCCTCTGAGAGGTGGTAGCGAAGTCCATGGAAGAATTCAATACAACAAAAGAAAGGAGACATGGAGAGTTTGTGTGTGTGGGGCTGGGGCGGGGCGGGGGGGGGGACCATGACTGGAAGTAAATATGCCCTAAAGCAAAGGCTGTCCATTACAATGAGAATCGCTCACCACTTCTCCGAGCAGAAACAGCATGAAAGCACCCAAAGGCCATCTTACCCTGGCTCCTGAGCCTAGGTTGGTATGTCAGCTAGAAACTTGGAGTGTCCCCTGGATCCTGATTGCTTTCCTGCCAGTTTTAGTAAACCACACTCCTTCTCTACCTGTTCGGCTCTGTCTCTGGCGTGGTCTACACTGCATACTCACCTGATTGATTTTCAGTGTCCTAAAAACCCAAGGGTCTGGTCTGTGCTCACCTTGTTAACTTATTTGGTTGACGTATTATTCTCAAGCCGCCCCAGGAGAGGGGGTGAAGGGGCTTGGGGGGATATTTTTTGGGGGGTAGGGCTCCAAATGGCCCCTCCCTGAATGTTTGTTTAAATCACTTGGTGGTGGCAGCAATACCGTCCAAGGACAAGGAAGGATTTGTGCCTTGGGGAAGTTTTTAACCTAAGCTGGTAGAAATAAGCTTAGAGGGTCTTTCATGAGGGTCCCCACATCTGTATCCCAGAGCTCAGAGTGGGTAGGGAACACTAACACCCCGACTAGAGCGTCTCACACAGGGTAGTGACCCTCCCACACCCTAATCTAATTTACTCCTGATTTACAGCAGAGTGGGCGCAGAATTTGGCCCTTGTGGCTTTTGCCAGACACGGTTCTTCTGCTTCCTGTGAGTTACCAACTGCTCGAACTAGTGTGAGTCCGTCTTCCCAGGCTGGTGTCACACCACCCAGCTGCAGTGCGGACGGAGTCTGAGATGCTTACGGGTGTCACGTGCCAGGGAACCCTTCTGAAAAGGTGAAGTGGCCACTCTTGAAATTGCTAGCCGTAACTCCCAAACATGACCAGCAAATTTGGGGAGGTGGTGGTGGGGGTTACAGTGTTTACTTTGTAATGAAAGAGGTGCCGGGGCTTAACAATATTTTTCCATTCATAACTGATGCAGCAAGCCCAGAGATGCAGGAGCAGTCTGAACTGCCAAGCCCTGGCACAAATTAAGCACTGGGGGTTATCTGTGGTCAGGAGGGTGGTGCGTTTGGTGACATACAGGTGACAAGCTCCAGATGTACGGGTCTGATTCTCTAGTCCCCTGAAAGCACTGAGAGATTTCAACAATCCTGCAGGATGTCTTTATTGTTGTTTTAGATTCACTTTCCATGTTACTGAGAAGAGCTAGAGATGCTGAGAGACACAGGAAGGGAGGGAGATTCCTAACAGTTGACAACAGTTGACAAGAAGGTGTGAGTATCAACAGAGGAAAAATTACTTTTTGTAGTGATCCAGCCACTCCCAGTCTTTAATCAGGCCTAATTTGATGGTGTCAAGTTTGCAAATTAATTCCAGTTCTGCAGTTTCTTGTTGGAGTCTGTTTTTGGAGGTGAGTGTTCAGGGAGATTGAAGTGCTCTCCTACTGGTTTTTGAATGTTACAATTCTTGATGTCTGACATCAGACTAACTTTTTTAGTTTGTTAGTCTCTAAGGTGCCACAAAGACTCGTCGTTCATAGAGCTTTTAGTGTAATTTCTATAGATTCCCATTAAGGGTTAGGTGTAAATTGGCACAACCACATTCATTCCATTGGCGCTAAGGCCGATTGACCCCAGCTGGGATCTGGCTCATTTTGGACACCTGGTGTAAAGCTTACCCTGGTGTAAAGCTGTTCCTCCTGACTCTCAGTCACTCTAAGTCCCCTTTACAACTCTCTGCTCACTGCACGGCCCCGGTGAAGGAGCCAGGACGTGACTAAGAATCAGACCCAGTTAAGCAGCCAGAGTGACTCCTGGTTTGCGCCGGGGTGAGTGGGGCTGCAGGGAACCCGGGGCTGCAGGGCCCGTGTGAATGTTGTTCCCAGGGGCTGGTGTCTGGAATGCAGCTAATCGGAGCATTTTCTCTCCTTCTCTCGCAGATGCGACATGGTCAGAGGCAGGATGGGAACGAGCCCTGGCTGGTCGCTGCGGTTGGTGGCTCTGTGGACGCTCTATGGTAGGTATTGCCTGTTCCTGCTTTGCTCTCCTGCTTCTATTGAGCAATGTGGTGTCACTTTAATTGTCCATTTCCCTAATGGATTTGCTCCCTCTTTTTTGGTTTAGCTGGTCCCGGTCTGTCCCAGTGGCGCCGTTTCAGATTTGTTTTGAGGGGAGGTAACTTTAACTATGATTCCAGGGAAAGGAATCATATACACACACACACCAATGGGTATCAGTTCTGGAGCTTTAACACAGATCTCAGAAACAGACATTTGATTCTTTGTACACGATATTTAGTAGAGATGAATAAAATTAAATAAAATCTGCTCAAAATCTGCTCACTTTCTCTCACAGACACACTCTGTGTTCCTGCCATTATCTACTCCATTTTAGTCAATTGTTTTTCCTTCCACTAAAATCCTATTACATATTTTTAACATATGCGATGAAGCGTTGCTTTCTCTTTTATTAAGAACAGGAATTTATTTTTCTAATGATTTTAGCATTTATGTTTACCAATCACAATCATAGAATTGTAGGACTGGAAGGGACCTTGCAAAGTCTTCTAGTCCAGTCCCCTGCACTCATGGCAGGACTAAGTATTATCCAACCATCCCTGGTAGGTGTTTGTTAAACTCTGAAAGAATAAAATTACAGAGAATATATGTGCATTGCGCATTTTGACAGGAAGTACCAACAATAATACAAGCGTGTGTGTCAGTGTGTGTGTGTTGGGGGAGTGTGTGTGTGTGAGAGAGACGTGTGTTTTGGGGGGGAGGGAGGGAGACTGAGTGTGCCCGTGAGTGAGTGTGTCTCTTTAAGCCCAGCTTTCAGGAGCCTGAACGCTACAGCAGCCATAGCTCCCACTCCTGAACCAGAGGCAGCATCACAGACAGGCCCCTGCCCCCACCCCACCTCCCTCACGGCCACCTCTAGCATCAGTGGAGTTCCCCCAGTGCCGCTCCAGCCATGGGTCAGCTTCCCAAAGAAGGGGAGACTGCTGTGGGGGCAGGAGATGAGCGGCCTGAGAGCGACTGGGGGCTCCTGGCAGGGTTCCCAGCTCTGGGAGGGGTGGCTACGGGGGTCTAAGGCAAATTTTGGGGTGGCTTTAGCCCCTGCAAACCCTGCCCCCCCCCTCCAGCACCATCCCATATGTTGGTTACGTATGTGCTTTTCCATTGATACAGTTATACTGGTACAAGCCCTAGAGCGCACGCACTGACTCTGGTGTAAATCTGCCTTGTACTGGTCTAAACCCCTCTATACCACTGCATATATGTCTACACTAGAGACGTCTGCCAGCGTAGGCTCTGTCTACACTATCAACTAGGGGTACGATTCCCCACCTTAAAGGTTCCCCCACCAACCTCTGCTTCCCTTTAAGGAGTCGCTGGAGCACAGCCATCCATCACAGCTCAGTATGGAGAGGACATCACACTGGACTGCACCTTCCACCACATACCGGGGGTAAAACTCCAGCGACTGAACATCACCTGGAAGATGCAAAGAGCCGAGGGAGCAGCTCTCCTGGTTCACAGCTACTGTGAGCAGAGGGACCTGTGGCAGGGACAGGACAAGGTTTACTGGGGCCGGACACAGCTGGACCCAGAGGGAATCCACAAAGGGAATGCGTCCCTGCGACTCAGGGCTGTGCACTTCCAGGACGAGGGCTCCTACCTCTGCTACATCGCCTCTGAGCTGGGAACCTCGTCCCAGAAGATTTCCCTGGCCGTGCTCAGTAGGTTTCTTCTGCCTGTGTCCCTGTCCGAGCGTCTGAGACACAGTCACTCACTGTGTACAATGTGATCGCCCAGCAGAGCCAGGTCTGGCTAAAGCGCCACAATCCCCCAGTGCAGACACAGGCCACATCTCCGCTAGCAGCGCTTTGCCTTGACTTTCAGCCACCGTGTAGCCTTATGTTTTTCCACATAGGTTTAGCCCACACAAGCACAGCGCTTGCCTTTGTCCTCTGCTAGTGGCTGTCTCACATAAAGGGATAATAGCCTCCAAGTGGTAACAACTGTTGGAGTTGTGAAAAGCAACAGAGGGTCCTGTGGCACCTTTAAGACTAACAGAAGTATTGGAGCATAAGCTTTCGTGGGTGAACACCCACTTCGTAATGGAAATCTCCAGGGGCAGGTATAAATCAGTATGGAGATAACGAGGGAGGGTGAGGTGCTCTGCTAGCAGTTGAGGTGTGAACACCAAGGGAGGAGAAACTGCTTCTGTAGTTGGATACCCATTCACAGTCTGTGTTTAATCCTGATCTGATGGTGTCAAATTTGCAAATGAACTGGAGCTCAGCAGTTTCTCTTTGGAGTCTGGTCCTGAAGTTTTTTTGCTGTAAGATGGCTACCTTTACATCTGCTATTGTGTGGCCAGGGAGGTTGAAGTGGTGTCCTACAGGTTTTTGTATATTGCCATTCCTGATATTTGACTTGTGTCTGTTTATCCTACTGTTGAAGTTGTTCCTTCAGTTCATGTGACAGTGGTGCATTCTTTTAGTTCCAAAGGTCATGGGTTCAAATCCCCCTCAGAGCCCAAGTGGAGGCTTGATGATGTTCTAGGTCTTTCTGTGAATGTGAATTTTGAAGGAAATGGCATGTGGGTGCAAAATTTTTACTGCACAGAAAATGCGAAATAGTATAATTTTGCTAGTCTTCTTGGTAACGTGGTAGGTTTGTGTGAGTTGTTCTGCATGTGCTGTTTTAGCATTGCATGTTGTGCATGTGTCTCACATAAATGTGGTGGATTGGGAGAGTTGTGAAGGCAGTGTGACTGTGTAATGGGTGTCCTGGGTGTCTGTTGTGTGTGTGCATGTTATGAGTGTGGCATGTTTGTATGTGTTTGCAGGTTGGTTTCTATAAAATAGAACGGAAAATGTGACAAAAAGTTGCCTCTGGAGCTGGGGTAAATAATCCTGAGCCTTGTTTCTCGTTCAGGGGAGAGTGAAATGGAGTCTCCTATCATAGCGCAGCTGGGGCAGGACGTCACCCTGAGCTGCCCCTTTGAATGCGGATTAAACCTGCAGCCGTTGAACATCACCTGGAAGAAGGAAGAAGCCGAGGGGCGGGATCTCCTGGTTCACAGCTATTATAACGGGATGGAGACGTTGCAGAGACAAGATGTCGCTTACAAGGGCAGAACACAGCTCCACCCGGAGAGATTCCCGCAGGGAAATGCGTCCCTGACGTTACGGAGAGTTCGCAGCCAGGATGAGGGATTCTACATCTGCCATGTCAAGCTGGATCTGGGGCGGTTTTCTGTGCGGATGCAAGTTACAGTGGAAGGTACGGGACAGTGTATAGTACAAGCCCCGAGGGGTTTTCCTACACTTGAGAAAAGCGCTCGAGATTAGCTACCTCGATGTGACCGTAACCTTTTCCCGGCCTCGGCAGGTTCTACCTCCATAGATCTGGTCCAGGCTGTCCCTGCTTCCCCCTAGGGTCAGTATGAGCCACACGTGCATTGCTGGGTTCTGACCCCCACCACAGCCACACAAGGAAGAGGCCTTGCGGATACCTCAACGAAAGCTGCTGCTTAACGTGCAGCGACAGGGAAAAAACAAAGCAGCCGTTAGGCTGCACAAGGGATGGGAGGAAAATACTCAGAATATGCTAATAGCATCCACCAGAGTTTTTATTTTGTTTTCTGTTTGTCTTTTACAGGCTCTGTGAGTGACCAGCCATCACTAGTTCTGTACTGTGCCGTGTTTTTTACTTTGTTAATACCAATAATGTTTATGATCATTAAGAAGCACTGTCCGGACCAGCTGCGTAAATTAAGGTTTTGGTCCTGACAGAACCAGCAGCAGGGCAGAGACCAGCCTGAGTCAAACTTGTGGATAGACAGTGAGTCAGAAAAGGCAAAAACAACAAGGAGTTTTTCTCTCCCCAAATGTGAATCTTTTCTAGGAGATGGACGTGAACAGACAGCCCTATGGAGAGGTACCACCACACGCCATAGAGCCTCTCAAGTCATGGAACATGGTGACACACAGTCTTCCAGCTCCTTGGGTAAAATACTGTGTTTTTCATAGAATAGAATATCAGGCTTGGAAGGGACCTCAGGAGATCATCTAGTTTTTCATGCTCGTTCAAGCTGGTAGAAGATAGAGGACAATGGGCCAGATCCAGAACTACAGTGATTTAAACCCGCTGAGGATCTGGCCCTGGGCACTTGAGTATCCTTGGGAGGGCACGTCAGGAGATCATGGTTAAAATTTTCAAAAGTGCCAAAGTGACTTAGGAGCCTGAGTCCAATTTTCAAGGATGCCTGAGGCCCTTTGGAACCTAACACCGTTGACTCTCAGTGACAACAGAACTGATTTAAGTGACAGGCAGGGCTAGTTCTACCATCCAGTGACTGGGGAGGGGGAGAATTGAGTATTTTGGGGTCCCCTGGATATTGCTATTTAAAAAACAAACAGCAGTACAGGAGTGCAGAGGTAATTCGACCCCTGGAAAAACTTGGAAATTAAGAATTAAAAAAATAAAATTTGGCCCCAGTGTCAGTATTTTGCTGTGATTTATGTAAAGGGTGAAGCCTCTTCAGTCTGCCACAGTTCCACTGCTTAACACTGGATAACTTTGTGCATAAAAGGGCCTTTCTGATGATGAGTTGGGGGCCCTTGACAATTGTTTGTCTTTGCGGGGTGGGAAGGGGGACAAATGTGCCAGGCCTGGGTCTGAAAGAACACGATACAGGTGCTGCTGAGACTGGGGTGGTGGGAGAAATGATGGTGGAGCCCAAGGGTTATTCACATCCGGGACACCCCAACGTAACGCTATGGGACCTGCCAGGAATCGGGATAATGAATTGTCACTCAGACACTTTCCTTAAGCAGCGTCACTTCAGACAGTGCGACTTGTTCATTGTCATCTCCTGTGGGCGCTTCACAGAGACCGACGCCAGACTTGTGGAGGAGATTCGAACGCTGGGGAAG